GTAGGTTGATGTAAACTATATGTAGGAGTTGCTCAATGGTAATCCTCAAATTTTTCTTTCGTCTTGAAAATTCAGTAATAAGCCGATTTTGAAAAAAAAAAATCACTGAATTATTTGTACTGGAAAACACCTAAAAATAAGCCGAAGTTCTAGTTATTGTGATCATAGATACAGGTACCAGTAAATAAAAAGGGAATTATTCAAATATAGGACTGTTGAACTTTTAAGAGGTTTCCCCCTATGAAAGATTTTTCATACTTTTAATGGACTTATGAAATTGGTTACTGTTCTTTATCTTCCCCTTTTGTCTTTGATAAATAAAACAATCTAAGGAAAACAAGTTTAAATGCATGAAATAACCACTTCATTATTTCGATGAATAACACATACGCAGGACAGTAAGTTAAGGTTACAGTAAGGAGGCGGGGCCTACTTTATACGGGATATGTTTACTATGACGTCATACATAATATAAGGTTCTTAAAATACCACAGAATAAAATCATTTGCCATTTCAAACTGCTGGACAGCTGAAGACTACTTAAACACTTACTATTACAACTAGTTTTGTCGTTTGTTAAATCCAACAAAAAATATATAAACGATTCAACGATCGCAATGTACTTGTCAATGTGACGTCGTCTCACAAAAATGACGCAGTTTGTGCACAATGAGAGGCTGATCAAGTCACATTTTCTACAATGAAAAATGTTTTGTTCTCAAATAAAATATTGTAACGGAACCGAGCACAGGATGAAAAACCAGGTTTCCCAAATTTGGAAACCCGATGGAAACATATGGGAATCGTGACATCAGTAGTTTCCATATAGTTTCCATTTTATGGAAACCACATAGTGGTTTCCACATAGATTCCCGACATGGAAACAATCAACCTGTGGTTTCCCGTAAGTTTCCCAAGATAGGAAACCATGGAAACATGCCCCGGTGGTTTCCACATAGATTCCCGACACGGAAACAATCAACCTGTGGTTTCCCGTAAGTTTCCCAAGATAGGAAACGATGGAAACATGCCCCGGTGGTTTCCATGTAGATTCCCGATATGGAAACAACCAACCTGTGGTTTCCCGTAAGTTTCCCAAGATAGGAAACCATGTAAACATGCCCCAGTGGTTTCCATACAGATTTCCGACATGGAAGCCACCAATATGTAGTTTCCCCCATGTTTCCCACGTAGAGAAACTTTGAAAGTATAATTATCTCAATACTAACCCACATACCTTTTATTTTACAAAAAGTTAAATATTTAATTATGTTACCATATTTTTACCAATTATAGAAATATTTCAAAAGTGTTTACATGCTGTATCAAAATAATTAACTTCAAACAGTTAAAATAACTAGATATGTATTTCTGTGTGATAAAATTTAATATTTCAGCACCTTGAACACAATTCAATTTTAATTTAATTTTATTTAACTGAATTTTATTTAATTTAATTTAATTTTAAATTTGATTTATCACATAAGTTTTGGTAAACTCGTATAGAATGCGCGCGTGAAGTGGAATAGAAAAAAGTAAGTGCAGTTATGTAGAAATCAATCATTTCCGATCCCACTTTCTTGAAGCTGTCTATGATGAATTTTCCTTTGAAAAAATGGAAGAGCTAAGGAAGGGTACATTTAATGAAATTATTTACAGAAAAGGTTTACTAAAAAGATCGATTAAAAAGTAAATAAAGAAATATGTCAAGTTACGATTACTGATTAAGGACAGATGAGACGTTCCTCAATAAAATAATTATATTTTTTTCCAATATTTTGCAATTGACATTGAAGAATTATTTGTACATAATTACATGTATTCACAAGACATCAAGGTACCTTACCAGGCATTTGTGTTAGATACCAAAGGTTGGCATTTCTTATATACCGGGGTAATCCGTCAGGAAAAAAAAAATACTTCAGTTGGTTTGTCAAAATTACATTTTTTTTAAAAACAAGTTTAGAAAGTGATAAAGATTTTGTTTTAATATGAATTAATATATTAATATAACCTGGTCAGATAAGAATCATTCATCGAATTGGCTGGGGGCTGAGTATTATCATACTAGTATTTTACTATTAATAGTAAATATTGTTTTTTTTTAATTTTTAATTTATTAAATTATTATTTTTATTATTGGGGGTGGGTGGTTTGCTTTTTATTTTTTCCTTGAGAAGCCCCCCCCCCCAAAAAAAAAAAAAAAAACGCTTTTGAAAAAGTCACTATGGTCGGCCTGTGTAATTAGGGACACCTGTCCTCACGTGCCATTTCAGGTGGAGACACGTGCCGCGAAGACACCTGTCACTGTGTATTTTTTGTATATTCTATGTGAATTGAGACGGTTTTCTACCTAAAGGGAACAATGGGCTGTTGTCGAGCATGTACACACACAGTCTCCGACCGAAAATTCGTTTGAATTAAGATGATGATTCGTGTTTCTTTTATCATTTAAAAAATTGTATATTCCATAAATAAAGTTATACAAGAGAACATATATATATATATATAAAACCTACATTTAAGAAGTTCAATGAAAGAACAAACTCTTTAGAATTTTTTTTCAATTTTCATTACTGATTTAAAATAAAACTATCCTCTTTAGAAATTAAATAATTTTCTATAGTATAGGTAATGAATAGATCTTAATTCTCGTCGTGTATAATTATATTAAATCAGAATGACTTTAATAGATCAATGTAAAATCAAAACTGTATTTAATATTCTTGATGGGTTTTTGTGTGAAATTTGTAATCTAACGTACTACAAAGACATTTATTAGATAAATTTTTATAATATAATTCATTACATAAAACGTTTTTTTCCCTTTTTTGTTTAAATATGTACGCACATCCCCGTGTAGTAAACGACTGCACTTTTCGCATGAAATTACAATGTAGGGTCCTAAATGCACATACATTGTATTTAACAAACTTTAAAATTTTCAGCCATTGTTTTTTCTCCAAAGGCCATTGCTCTAGATAAAGAAAAGTGTATAATATTTGGCATGACTTTGTTTTCCTTAAGAACAATGGCTTTTAAAGTAGTGCATGCTAAGGCAATCTATTAAAAGAATTACTAGTAATTGTATAATTCACGATTGTATTTTTGTGCAGTTTTTGTTGATTTCATTCTATAAAGGTATGAAGTTTGTCAATACTTCAACAAACATTTCTTTATCTATGTTGTACACTACTTTATTTTTATTCGCCGACATGCTACTCTTTTAAAAAAAAAAAACTTGCGTGACAGTCTTAAATTTGACTAATAGACTCGATCTTCAGGCCTGTAGGAAAGTAATTTCCGTTAGAGTAATAAACTAACCGGGATTTTTTTTTTTACTAGCATTACCTTACCAGATTTCTTAACGAAAAAAAACATTAAAAGAAATATTGGGCGGGGACCAGCTGAAGCTGTATGCATAAGTACAGCCATGCACATCAACGAGTATAGATGACTTTCGACATAATCTTTCCCATGACTTCACTTATACCCATCACGACTAAAATACTGAATTAAAATACTGTTATATTTTCCTGCCTTTCATTAGATGTTAGTTTTGTTCCACATAGAGATAGTACTCTCCTAAGAAAAAGGTTTTCAACATTCTGATTCATTTAACAATTTTTTTACGTGTTAAAATGATGTGGGAAATTTATAAGCTAAAGGCCAAGGAGTTTAAAGTACAATTAATGTACATGTAGCAATTAGAGAAAAGTCTAGCAGGTCCACCAGTAATAATACAGCATATTAATTGATAGCAGGCTCAAAATCTAATTAAACCCCGAAAAGGAGGGAGTTCAATTAGTAATTTAATCCCACCCACCCCCACCCCCCAAAAAAACACAACAATTTATTAGCAATGAATTATTAAACACCGAACTTTTCAATCATCATTATTGAAATATAAAAAAAACTGTTCTTGATAATCACATTATAATTGTAGCTCATTTTCATGCCTTTTAGGATTCCTGTGGAAAGTTCACAAAAAAATGTGCTTTTAAAAGTTTAACATCTTTTGTTGTGACATTATAAATTCATAATTATACATGTAACAGTTAAAAGAAGCGGGGAGAGGGGGGGGGGTTGTTTTCAGCAAGGACGGCCACTACCAACAACCAAGCCCCGAAACCCATATCCCGAAGGTAAATAAGTTGAGGTGTCAAGCAAGAAACAAAATTTTTTCTGCTCTTGGCTCACGTATTTAACCGCTTTTTATCTAAATATATTAGGCCTACACATCATATCGGCAAAAATATTTAGGAGCCCCTCTTTTTATTCCATGAACTGGGGAAAACTTAATTAAATTCTAATATAAGATCTCATAATCACACTTAATCATAGTGAATGTAAACAGTTTATATTACCCATACTGCATCGCTCTGTAGGCGCTTTATTTCATTGGTCAATTTCCCGAGGCGCCATTTTTGGAGGATCGAGAAGGACGAAGAAGAAGGTGTAAGCAGCTGGTAATTGTGAAAAATTAAGATGTTTTTACCACCCAGTGTCTGTAAGACTGTGATAAATGCAATGACCAACGACCAAGGATTAGTGTACGTATATTTTCGTTAACTTTTTACGGTAAATAATTGTAATATTTGGCAACAACAAATCTTCACTATCGGAGGCAACTTTTGTTCTGACGCCATTTTGAAAAGTTGGATACCTAAGTTTTAAATTGTTAAGTGTATATATTGCAGAGAGAAAGAGAGAGAGAGAGAGAGAAAAATTTGAGACAGTGATATAGCATAACTTAGATTATGGAGGCCCCAAGGCACCGTGCATGTGCATGCTGTATGTTGTAAAATGGCAACGTTTCGCCTTTTATCATGTTTATTAAAATGTATGCTCCATATGTATGTTCTCTCTCTCTATATATATAAATGAATACTTTTCGGAATTTTAAAAAAAAAATATTTTTAACCCCGCTCAAATTATCCGGATGATAATAGTTACACCGAGTACGGTTTCGTAATTTAATTCAGACTGTAGTACATCCGGTTTGAATACATGTGTTTTCTGACTTTTCGGATAGCCAACTCTTTTGATTTTTGGAACTTACGACTTATGGCAAGGTATAAATTAAATATTTTTGGTTCAAAACTTTGATAAAAGCATCGATGTTTTTTACAAAAAGTGTCTTCAATCTCAGCTTATCCGATTATTCATGAAGGATATCATCATCAGAACGGAATAGATTAGGTTTGTTTTATTGTTTATTGAAATAGTTTACTGCTCAAAAGATTTTCTTTCTTTAATTGTCTTACCTGTTGAGATGAAGATGTAAAAAAAGAAAAGCCTAATAGAGAATTAATATTGATAGTATGTCAAGAAATGCAAATGAATCATCAGCTTGAATTATCAGTTATTTCACAATTATTTACCTGAGTAGGTCAATGTATAGCGAATAATACATACTCTTTTCCATATCCAGACTTGTTGAAATTTTTTAATCACTGTCAGACATTTGGTCTGACAATGTCAAGTGTTCTGTCAGACCAGTCAAACTTTTGTCAGACCAGATACTTGTACCTTATTTTGACACTGAGAAAGTCATATGAATAACAGCACCTAAATGTACTTTATTATTTTCAATAGCCTTCAACCTAACAACTTTCCTTTCTTGGGATAGAGAGTCTTAAACATAGACATATATGACATGTTTTATGACTTTGTCATAACAAATTTACTTGGCTATCGTCAACATGCCGCATATGCGGCCATTTTTTCTGTGTCTGTGACCTTTAATTATGCATCCCGATCCCAACCTTTATTAAATTTGCATTACGCTCAAGTATCTTTCAAACGGTCATCTGGACCGACGTTTTCTTAAATGTTATCGGTCCAGACAAATTTTTACCGGCCTTGCCGACAGGACCGACGGATTTCGACAAGACTGCATATCACATCTTATCCTGCCTCTGATAAAAATCGTGAAATTTCATTGGCCGAGAGCAATAGTGCATGATCCGATGTTATGCTGTTTACCCACTTCACATTGCTAATGTGCCCCCTCCACGTGACCTACCCACCATATATTAAAAATTTACCAACCACACATCATCAATATACTGCTTTCACGTGACCCGCATGGAGCTTCATAACTGACGTCACGATGCGTCTGACGACAACGTACAATGGATGTAGAACGTCTTGCTTGTACGTTCAGTGAAAGCGGTTTATTGATACTATAAAAAAAAATTGCTTTTTCAAACTTTGTTGCTGTGTTTCACAAGCGCATCTTGTTTTTATTTTTTCTCCCATCCTGGTTGTTGCTAATGCTATTACATAATTAGTTTAAATTAGAATGCAATAGTACCTGGACATAATTTATCATTTTAGAGAGAAGAAAACTTCGTGACTTTAAAAGAAAACCAGTGAGATAAAATCATAGAAAATGTATGATGATTCGGGATGTGATCATTTGGTAAGTGGTAATTCATTCATGATTGGTATGTATATGACAATTGCCTGAAAAAAAAGATTCTAAATTTTATTTAAATACTGGACTGTGGTTTATCAGCTGTGAACTACAAGAAGTTTTATGTTACAGCTAGGGCTGTAACAATTTGCCCCCTCCATCTTATGTGTGTATTGCTATGATTGACATACAATCAGTTCTCTAATACATACACTTCAATAAAACTTTGTCGTCTCGAACCTGAATTGAACAGGAAAAAACTTTGAGATCTCTCCAAAAATTTGAATGGAAAAAAAGTATATGCTTATAAACTGATTTCTTGCTGGTCAGTATTTTGATTACTTAAAGGAAGCTCTAAAAACTGCACACTAAACAGAGTTCTACTTTAATATCAGGTAGTTTTATGAAGTTAGAGTGATCTGCCCATAGATTAAGATTATGAAAAATGTTATTTTACAGTCAGTTAGATTATTTGTAATAGATTAAATTATTTTTAGCATTATTTAAAATAAAAAATAGGAAATTAATTATTTTCATAAATTTTTCAAATGTAAGTAAACAGCAATTATTTCTGCTTACAGATAGTCCATTGTCTTTGAAAATTTCTTGGGGAAATGAGACACATACCATATGTTCTAAATGAATAAAAAAGGCTCATTATGCACATATTTATATGAAATATGAAAGATTTTTTTCTCTCCAAGGAATAATTTCTGCAAGTCACTAACTTTTTAGAGTTTCCTTTATTTTATAGATATTCAATGAAATTATTTGAAGTATTAAATTTTGGTAAATTTATGATACTAAAAGGTTATATGGATGAAAAAACAGCATGCGTGTATGACATTAGGGCTTAAATTTTAATGTCTCTTAATTTTTCAGTGACATTAAAACAGGAATTGTCATCACCAATAGACGAATTTCACATTCCTAAGAGTTTTCTCCAATTGTCGGCGTATCGCTCATTTTTCCCACTTTGTCCTTTGTAAGTTACTTGTTAATATTTTCAATCTTCAAACAATATCAAACAATTACGATCTGTATCTGTATTGCCAGAGTATGGGGGCAACATGAAAATCATAATGAATATGTTCATACAGATTTTATTTCTAAGATATTGTCCCTCAAAGTTGATACGGTTAAAGAGGGAAAACGGCGTCTTAAGCCGGTTGACCCCAGATTGACCCTGCGAAGGGGAATAACTTTTGTAAATGTGAAAGTCCTGTATGGTATATCATATAGATCTAAAGCTGACTGAATTTTGATCAGCCAATATGATGAATGGATGTAAATAATGTTGGTCAATATTTTGAAAAAAAATTAGATTACTTGTTTATAAACTGAGTGTACATGCAATACCGGTATAAAATCAGGCACATAGCATTGTTTTTATACGCCCGTCTTAAGACGGGACGTATTATGTTATAGGCTTCGTGTCCATCCGTCTGTCCGTCTGTCTGTTAGCTTTTTCGTTTCCGGCTCATAACTTTAATACTACTAGGCCTAGGATTATCAAACTTTGTCATCTGATGCATCTTGGGTAGAAGGTGTGTCGCGCACAAAAAGTAGGTCACCCTGACCTTTAATTAAGAAGTTGTAGCCAAATATGGAAAAATCCTTTCCGGCCCATAACTAGAAAACCATAAGACCTACAATCATCAAACTTGGCCAGTTTATGCATCTTAGGTAGAAGGTGTGTCGCGACCTATTTCAAGGTCACTGTGACCTTTAATTTAAGTGAATTAAAAAAAAAATGTGTCTTTTTACTTTTCATTTACACATCCCAAATAATGTAAGAGTATTGCACTGTTCTTGTTAAAAAAGTGTTAAATCAAGAAAATACTTATTTTTTCTAAGCATATACTTAACAGCAATCTATAACAAATATAATGTATGTCAGAGAAATCCTGCCTCTCCCATGAGAGTAATTATCAAGCACTTGTCAAGAAGAATTTTGATAACAGAAAATTGCATGTCAAATTAGAGAGAAATTAATGGGTTTTGAGTGCGAGGAGCTTACTGACAGAGCCTTGAGTATTGGGCAAATGGGTAAGCCTGTGTGATTAGAAATAGCTCTTGTTGACTAGCCTAAGTTTTAAAATGAATTTGATGAAAAGTAATTAAAACTAATTTGATTTGCATAATAGACTAATCTGATATTATGTAATATTATTAATTTAAAAACTAATTTTATGGGGTGGGGTGGAATCAGCATGTCCATATGAATTACATATTAAAACCTATCGGACATTAAATCTCAACCAAAAAAAAAATCTTTGAGTATTTTATATGTTTTAAAAAAAAATTTATAGTAGATAGTGCAGACCCATTTATCTCTTGGTAGTAATGAGTAGACAAGCATCCAGTTAAAGATTTAATAATGAGTTCAATGTTGGAAGGCTAGCTGTCTCAGTCGCTCTGATTAAGCTGTACCCTTTGGGAGTTAGACAGAGGAACTGTTGGTCAGTTTATAACATATGTCATTTGATGGCCAGCCTTTTCTTTTCAAAATTAATTTGGTATAGATTAAGTTGTTAGACTAATTTGATGATGGGCATTTGACAAGGTCTAATACAACCAGCACATAAATCTATCAGTGATGTAATATTTATTATAATTGATGCTTACATCACAGGGGATGGATAAATATTTTAAGGAATGGAAAAATCATCGAAATCTTAGAATCAAGGTTGATGTGATTTTCTTGCACCTAAACTGTTCAAGAAAATTGTAATTTTTTTGACGGGCGTATCATGCTGTGGCGCGGCACTTTATTGAAAGTGTGTGTGTGAGTGTGTGGGGGGGGGGGGGGGGGGGGGGCAAAGTTGCCCAAACTCGAAAATCCTATTTCTTGTGGGGGGGGATGGGGTAGTGGCCAACTTTTTTCAAAGCCAACTTACTATCACTTCCATTTTTTTCCCTACAATCCTTGATATCACCATACTATGGTTATAAAGTGGGGGTGGGGGGGGGGGGGGGGGGGGGGGGGGGGGGGGGGGGGGGGGGGGGTGGGGCAAACCAAACAATAAAGGAACATTTAATATAGTAAAGGTTATGTTGGGAAAAATGTGGGGGGCCAGGCCGCCCCCCCCCCCCTCCCCGGTTGCTACATCCCTGAAGATTACTCGTAAGATACATGTATACTTTAACCATGATAAAATCATATGTGTCCACTGTCCAATGCAGCATATGATAAATCATTAACATACAAGTACATGTGTATCTATACTGTATTATACATTTAATTGCATTATTTTTAGGTCCTGTTCTGTGGATGCCCTAAGACAGTGTCTATCCATCACTCCATCTGATATCACTTGTTCTGAACATATTTCTCTCTCAAACTTAAACTACAGAGAGCCTCTGGATAGTGGATAAAGAGTGACCTTGCATTAATTTTCTAGGTCAAAGGTCAGTATCAAAATGTACTGTATATCTTTATTCAAAGTCCTAGTCCAGAGTATATTTCTCCCTTGGTGTAATCTAGCTTTTGTGCAATGGGGTGGAGGGTCTGCAATGATCTTCAACCAATTTCTAGGTCGAATATCAAAATTAAAAAAAAAATCTCCCTAATATTTTTGTTATTATAAAGAGTATGTTTTCTCTCAAACTAATTAAACTTAAAGCAGGGTTCTTAGTATGAGGTACATGTAGTAATATATTCTCAATGACATAATAAGGCTGAAAACATTATTTATATTATGTTATTTTTTTTCACTTATCATAAAGCATTAAATATTAAAGAGATACATTAAATGCTGAAATCATATGTATCATGGTCATGGAAAGTAACTATTGATATTGGTATATTAAAGGACATTGACTGATCTTTCAGATTTCTAAGTTATATTCAAGCATTATAATTCTGACATCATATAATAATTTTGTATGAATATTGCAGATCATAGGTGATGTGAAGAAAACCAGGAAACTGATGTTGAAAGAAGTACTTAATGACCCTTATGAATGGACTTAAATGTGAAAGACTGTTCCATTGTTTATCTAAGATATATGAATTTATTTAGTATTTTGATATCATTGAAAAATACAGTTACAGTTTTTGTACATCAAATGAATTATTAAACATATAAAATGGTAATGCTTTTTTCTTTTACATGTAATAATTTTTTTTGATAGATATTTAAAAGAATACACATAATTTCACATCGCTTACTTTAGAAAAGTTAGGGAATCTTGAAGTTTCCCAGTAATTTCCACCAGGAATGGGACTCCAGATAATTCCATCAAGTTTCCGACACACAGAAACTGCTACACAAGTTCCATATAGTTTCCTTAGTCAAGGAAACTTTAAGAATCGTAAGGTTTCACGAGCTTCCATGTAGTTTCCCATAATAGGAAACCTTAAGATTCCATCAAGTTTCCATTCCACGGAAACCACTACGCTCCGATTCCATATGGTTTCCTGAGTCAAGGAAACTTTAGGAATCGTGAGGTTTCCCGAGCTTCCATGTAGTTTCCCGTATAAGGAAACCTAAAGATTCCACCAAGTTTCCATTCCACGGAAACCACTACGCTCGGATTCCATATAGTTTCCTGAGTCATGGAAACTATAGGAATCATGAGGTTTCCCGAGCTTTCATGTAGTTTCCCGTAAGAGGAAACCTAAAGATTCCACCAAGTTTCCATTTCACGGAAACCCCCTACGCTCCGATTCCATCAAGTTTCCTGATTCTGGAAACCAGTGGAATCTTCAGGTTTCCCATTACGGGAAACTACATGGATGTTCGGGAAACTTCAGGTTTACAGAGGTTTCCGTGGTTCGGGATACCTTATGGAATCGGAGCGTAGGGGGTTTCCGTGTCACGGAAACTTGGCGGAATAACCTAGCATCCGCTGCGGAAACCACTGGGAAACATGATGTAAACTTGAGGATTCCATGTGGTTTCCATAAAGTTTCCCATGATGGGAAACCACTTTTTTCACCCAGTGGAGGGTATCGTGTAATAAACTCGTGGGCCGCTATTAGTTTTCTGGTCACTTGGTCGATATTTGATGGTTCCATTGGTCACAGTTTATGTAATGGTTAATGACCAATTTTTGGTCACTTCTTTGGTTAACGTAATGACCAACTTTTGGTCACTTCTTTGGTTGACATAATGACCAACTTTTGGTCACTTCTTTGGTTGACGTAATGACCAATTTTTGGTCCACTTTAAATAGTTTTTGTTAGGAATAACACTTGTTAAAAGTTTATAACATTTATTAAGACGATCAAATGGTTCACTTATAAACACACAAAATGGTACACTGTAACTTGGTTGGTACAACGTTATATGATTAAGAAAAAGGTGACCAACCGATGGTCAATACAGGACGTTCCTACTAACTTGGTCCCCTTAATGGTTTCGTATACATAGACTTGGTACCGTCTTATTACAGAAGTATACGGAGTCGTTCCCCAAAGTGACTTAGGTCTTAGTCTTACCAGGGAAGGCTGTGTCCTCCGAGTCGCTCCTCACAGCCGACTGAAGTCTAAACCCAAAACAGCTGGTTTATATAGACAAAAGTTGTTATGATGACGTAAGAGACAATCAGATACCTAAATTACGTCACAATCAATAAGTTAGCGGGTTTTAGCCAACAAAATTACCTACTAAATTAATAACGTTGTACCCATATAAAACATACAAAATACATCACTTTCTCATTAAATTATACATGTTAAATTAATAAAGTCATTCAATCAATTATTGTTCATTTCTTTCGTTAACTGTTCATTGACAATTATTTACGGAGTTTATAAACATCGGGTTCAAGTTCCATACATTCTAAACTTGTAAACAAGAGTTAACCCGAATTTCACAGGAACACTTCGTGAAACGTAACATTACCCCCTTCTTAAGTCGAAACGTCCTCGTTTCGGGGTATTTCATCAATAACGTATACAAGTCCACTGGTAATGTCTTTCAAGATACGCGTTACACGGATATAATGTCATCTGCTTCACCACGAAACAGCTTCATCTGGTCATGATGCACATATTTTGGTTTCTCTGCTGCAGACCTCCTCACTTTGAATACCGAATCGGACACGGCGCGTAACACTATGTAAGGTCCATTCCAATGAACCTTAAGTTTATGACATCTTCCTTTGGTCCTTGACTTTAACGCAATCCAGACACATTGTCCTGGGATGTACTTAATCTGGTTTGACTTGGTGCCATACTTTCGTTTCTGGTTCTCGGTTACTTGTATCCATCGGGTGCAATCATCTGAACTGGTAACAACGTCCTTGTTACCCTTCTTGGTCCATGGTAAAGGACCAAGGATGTCGATGTCCACTTGTTCCAGTGGTTTCCTAACTAAATACTGACCCGGTTTTCCTCTGAATGCTCTTGGTGGATTCTTCTTTGCTTCACCAACGGTACAGTCTCTGATATGCTTCTCAGCGTCGTTTGTCTCCTTCTCGTCACGAGGTTCACATAGTCGTCGGTCATCATTATCATGGTGTAAAGCTTCTTGTACGCAAATTTTGAACACAGGATTGTGTTCACTCTTGAGGTCACATGGTAATTTATATTTTCCCAATGTAAGAGTTCCTTCACCCAAATTCAATTGACAATTATGCTGTTTCAGAAAATCAAGACCTAAAATCATATGTGACTCAACGTCAGCGACGACCACTTTATGTTCCGTAACTTCACCATTAATACCAATTTGAAGTTCAATCTGACCTTCTGGTACAACTAAATCGCCGTTTGCCATTTGTAAGTTACTATGATTTGGAAATAACTTAGGTCTCACACATCTTTCTATCTCGTAATATTTCTTTGGGTGGATAACTGTTATAACTGAACCCGTGTCAATGACACAATTAATTTTCACATTGTTAACCAGTACATCAATTGTTAATAAGTTCGCACTGCGAGTATTTGAGTTCTTTATTCCAAAAACATGTGGCCTTTTCTGTTTTGTAGTTGACGTTCGGCCGCCGACGTCAACTACTGCATGTTTCCCTGGTTCTCAGGTTCTCTGGTCGTCACGTCTTTTACGTCTTCCGGTTTTCTTTGGTTTCTGTATTTTTCAATTTTTAGGTGCCGTTGTAGTAACCTGCATTCTCTTTTGATGTGACCATCTTTCTTACAATAGAAACAGGGACCTTTCTTGTAAAACTTCTTATCTGTGTTTTGATTGATCATCGCTACTAGGTTTGTTTCGTAATTATTTCTGTCGGTATACGCTGGTTCCTCTGTCTGCATTCGCACTGCAACTTTATTTCGTCTCCCCCGCGCTTGTTGAAAGGCCTCATATTCCAATGCCAGTCGCACTGCATCTTCTAGGTCTGTAGGTTTTCCTTGAAACACTGCCCATTCCATGTCTTGGTCATTTAAACTTCCGATGAATGAATCTTTGGTCATCTGGTCGCGGAAACTTAGGGGTGCGTTCGGGTATGACATCCTTGTAAGTCGCTTTATGTCTTGCATTAATTCCGTGATCGTTTCGTTTTTCTTCCGTATTCTGCTCTTTAGTTGCGTCTTGTAGATTTCTGTTTGATTTTCTGGGTCAAATCTTGCTGCAAGTGCGGTAACAAGGTGACGAAAATTATACCGATATTCTGGTTGTAGGTCACTTAAAACGCTTAGTGCCGGACCGCGTAGACTGGTTGCTAACTCTAATGCCTTTGTTTCCTCATTCCAGTGGTTCAATTGAGCGATCATGTCGAAATGCACTATATAGTCGTTCCAGTTCATGGTACCATCGAACGTTGCTTGTTTTCTCCCTTTAGGTTCCGGGGTATGCCTGAATCCGCGGTCATGGGCTTGTCTTGTGTGACCATAATTTGGTACATCGTAATTGAAGTTGCGCATGGTCGACTGAAATTCGTTGGTCCTATCGTTGGTAGTATAACTGCGTGATGCCGTCGGGTTTGACCAACTTGTCCTTGAATGTTCATAATCACAAAATTCGTCATATGAATTTTGTAGGTACATATTTCTATATGGGCGATTTTCACTGTGTATTTGGTCATCTTTAGACGTAGTACTGGTACCGGACTGAACGCAATTTTGGTTTACATATTGGTCATTAGCACTCGTTGGTCTCACTTGAGATTGTAATTGGTTCATTTGGGACTTCAAAATTTTTAATTCTTGTAGAATTATGTGTAGACTGTCGTTGGTACATGTGTTGACTGCGCTGCCGTCTCCTATCTGGTCGCTGTTATTAACCCGCAAAAGAACTTCTTTGCTTGGAGTACCGTCGATAAACCGTGGTTCTTTTGGTTCTGTATTTTGGTCACTCTCCTCGACCAATTTTTCGTTCCTCGACATCTTTGTAATGGACTAGGTTCACAATTCACAGAATAGGGGATCCCACCGCTGCCACCAATGTAACGGAACCGAGGGTATCGTGTAATAAACTCGTGGGCCGCTATTAGTTTTCTGGTCACTTGGTCGAGATTTGATGGTTCCGTTGGTCACAGTTTATGTAATGGTTAATGACCAATTTTTGGTCACTTCTTTGGTTGACGTAATGACCAACTTTTGGTCACTTCTTTGGTTGACATAATGACCAACTTTTGGTCACTTCTTTGGTTGACGTAATGACCAATTTTGGTCCACTTTAAATAGTTTTTGTTAGGAATAACACTTGTTAAAAGTTTATAACATTTATTAAGACTATCAAATGGTTCACTTATAAACACACAAAATGGTACACTGTAACTTGGTTGGTACAACGTTATTTGATTAAGAAAAAGGTGACCAACCGATGGTCAATACAGGACGTTCCTACTAACTTGGTCCCCTTAATGGTTTCGTATACATAGACTTGGTACCGTCTTATTACAGAAGTATACGGAGTCGTTCCCCAGAGTGACTTAGTTCACTTTTCCCTTACCAGGTAAGGCTGTGTGCTCCGAGTCGCTCCTCACAGCCGACTGAAGTCTAAACCCAAAACAGCTGGTTTATATAGACAAAAGTTGTTATGATGACGTAAGAGACAATCAGATACCTAAATTACGTCACAATCAATAAGTTAGCGGGTTTTAGCCAACAAAATTACCTACTAAATTAATAACGTTGTACCCAT